TTCTATGGTTAGAGAAGAAAGCAGATGGCAAAAGCTTGGCAGTGAGAATGAGGTGAGTGATCTAAAATTCCATGAAGACTTCCACTTTCAGGAAGATAGGACAGATATACTTTTCCCTGTTTTCCCCAATGAGTACAACTGAAAACCCCAAACATTAATATATAAAGTAAAGAAAAGAAACATAGGAAGACTCTGAAAAGTGGAGACAAGAAAGGTAGACCAACTAGGTAGGGACCTTAGGATTCAAAGAACAACATAGCAGTTAGTCGCTTAGGTATTCTTTTTAACCCTGCAAATATCCCAGATTAGGTGCTAGAGGAGTAGGCAATCTAAAAACACCAATAGCCATAGACAGAAAAGCCCCAAGAAAACCCTGATTTATCTAGCCAAATGATCAGGAAAGGGATAGCCTAGAAAGACAGAAAAACAGTAGCCACTCTACTGCAAACACCCACAGGAAAAATTGTGGCCCTACCCTGACCCACAGTAGCAGAGACTGAGTAGAGAGCCTAGGCTATCAACTCCTCTATGCTATAAGGAGATGCTCTAAGCTCCCTTCTGGGGTGGTAACAGAGAAGGTGAACTAGATTGCTTAGACTTTCATTTATGCTGGGTAGTAAGAAAGGCTTCCCTCACAATGTCAGGGGAGATCATGTGGACTTTCTCTTCCACCTGGCAGTGAAAAGGTGTTCATTCTCCCTGCTGGGGTAGGATCACAGGTAGCCTAACGTAGAGGCAGGACTTTAATCACCAGAGGTAACAAAGTCATTTCCTTCTAGTATCAGTGAAATTAAATGGAGAACAGTAATGAAGCATCTCTTCTCCTCCTAGCCAGGGAGATAAAAGTAGAGGCCTGATATTCCCATAAGGGAACTTCCATGTCTATCCAATGGGACCCCTCCCCTTGAGTGTCTTCAAAGGCCAAGGGGAAAACCTGGACTTCCACTCCCACTTAGAAACAATGAGATGGTATTCCTCCTTCTCTGCTGAAGTGACGTCAGAGGAATACAATAAAAACAAAATATGTAAATAAGATCCATACTCTTATAAGGTAATAACCCCAAATTATGAAGTTTCAGTTGAAAATTACTTGTCAGTCTAAGAACCAGGAATATCTCAAACTGAATTTTAAAAATCAATCAATAGATGCCCACATGAAGATGACAGAAAAGTTAGAATTGCCTACCAAAATTTTAGAACAATCATAAAAAAAATCATATAAATGTTTCAATGAGCAAATACAAATAAGCTTAAAACAAAAGAATCTCCACAAAGCAATAGAAAGTCTGAGCAAAGATATTAAAAGTATAAAGAACAAAATACAAATTTTACAACTCAAAAATAAATATAAACTATCAATGAATGGAATAAACAGCAGACTAGACAAATGCAGGAAATAATTGGTGAGCTAGAAAATAGAAAAATAGATGTTATCTAATTTGAACATAGAAAATAAGCTAAAAAGAAAAAGGACATAGCCTCAGAGACAAGTGGGACGATAACGAAATATCTAATATTCAGGTGATTTGGTGTCCTAGGACAAAGGGAGGAAGAAGGCAGAGCCGAAAGAGTACTCAGAAAATTAAAGGTTGAAAACTTCCCAAATTTGGCAAAGGATAGAAGCCTATAGATTCTAATTGAATGAACCACAAACTGATAAGCCCAAAAAAAGCCATACCAAGACACATCATTGTCAAACTTTTGAAAACTAAAGACAAAGTCCTGAAAGCAGCAAAAGAGAAATGACACCTTACCTATAGGGAGGGAAGCAATTTAAATGACAGCAAATTTCACATTGGAAACCTCAGAGGCCAGAAAGAAATGGCACATATTTCAAGTGCTAAAAGAAAAGGAACTGTCAACCTAGAATCCTATACTCAGCAAAAAAAATCTTTCAGGAATGAAAAGGAAATCAAGACATTTTTCAGAAAAGGAAAAATGGGAAAATTTGTCATGAGCAAATACAACCTGAAAGAATAGCCAAAGGAAGTTCTTTAAACAAAAAGATACAATAAAAGAATCTTGAAATACCAAGTACCGAGAAAAAGCACAGTACTCTGGTATTATTTGTGGTGCCCCAAAGTTCGTATGTTAAAACCTAGTCACAAATGTGATGGGAGTAGGGATGAGGCTTTTGAGAGGTGGGATTCCATCTTGTGAACACACAGTTGGAGGGAACTATTTATGAACCAGAAAGCAGGCCCTCACCAGACACTGAGTCCGCCAGTGTCTTGATCCAAGCCTCAGCCTCTGCAGCTGTGAGAGAGAGATTTGGTTATAAGCTATCCAGTTCATGGTATTTTCTAATAGCAGTCTGAATGGACTAAGACACATAGTAAGCAAAAATATTATTTAATACAATATACTTTTGCTTCTCTTGAGTTTCTAAATTATGTTTGGTATTTGAAGCAAAAGTTAAAACATTGTCTGATAAGGCTTTAGATATATATAAAGAAAATATATAAAGAAATTATATTTTATATGGGGGAAGATAAAGGGAAGTAAAGGGAGGTAAGGATTCTATACTTCATTCGAACTAACAAATTGATGACACCAGAAGGTTATGAATTATGTATATATAATACATATAAATAATGTATATACAATCCCTAGAGCAGCCACCAAAAAGCTATACAAAGAGATATAATCAGAATACACTGTAGGTAAGTAAACATGGAATTCTAAAAAATGTTCAAGTAACTCACTCACAAGATGTCAGGGAAAGGAAAACAGAAATGAAAAAATAAAAAATAAAATGGCAGGCTTAAACCCTAACTTATCAGTAATTACATTACATGTAAATGACCTGTCTATGCCAATTAAAAGTCCTTTGGCAGAATGAATTTTAAAAATGTGATTTCACTAGGTGCAGTGGTTGCTGCCTTTATATTCCTAGCACTTTGGGAGGTGAAGGTGAGAGGATCACTTGAGCCTGTGAGTTCAAGACCAACCTAGGCAACAGTGAGACCCCATCTCTACAAAAAATTTAAAAATTAGCTGGACGTGGTAGCACATGTCTGCTGGTCCAGCTACTTGGGAGGCTGAGTCAGGAGAATCACTTGAGCCTGAGGAGTTGAGGCTGCAGTGAACTGTGACTGTGTCACTGTACTCCAGCTGGGGTAACACAGTGAGATCTTGTCTCAAAAACAAAACATAATTTTGCTGTATGTTATCTACAAGAAAATTATTTGATTTATAACACCACATACAGGATGAAAATAAGATTGAAAAAAATATATATCATGCAAATATTAAAAGAAAACAGGAGTTGCTATATTAGTATTAGACAAAGTAGGCTTTAGAGTAAAAAAATTACCAGAGAATTACATTATGAATATGTACTTGATAAAAGGGTCAGTCCTTTTAAGACACAAATGTATATGCACTGAAAGCTGTACAGTATGTAAAGCAAAAACTAATAGAACTGGAAGAAGAAATGCACAAATTCACAATTATAGTTGGAGACTCCGGTACCTCTCCTCAATAATTTATAGAACAATTAGACAGAAAATCAACAAGAATACAGAAAGACTGAACACCGCCATCACCTAACAAGATCTAATCAACATGTATACAACATGCCACTCAACAACAGTGGATTGCAAATTCTTTTCAAGTGCCCACAGAACACACAGGAAGATAGACCATATCCTAAGTCATAAGATAAACCTCCACTAATTTAAAGTATTGAATCATACAAGTATGTTCACTAAACACAGTGGAATCAAAGTGGAAATCAGTAACACAAAGGTAATAGGAAAATGTCCAATCACTTGGAAACTGAACACCATACTTCTAAAGTATCCATGGGTTAAAGAGGAAATATCAAAACAAATTTTAAAAAATATATTGCACTAACAAAAAATGAAAATACCGCAATCAAAATTTGAGAAAACCAGTTAAAGGAATGCTGAGAGGAAATTTTTAAAAAAATTTATTTATTATAATTTAAGTTCTGGGGTAGATGTGCAGATCATGCAGGTTTGTGACATAAGTATATACGTGCCTTGGTGGTGGTTTGCTGCATCCCTTGCCCTGTCATCTACATTAGGTATTTCTCCTAATGCTATTCCCCCCCAATCCGCCCACCCCTTGCTACTCCTCCCATAGCCCCCCACCCCCCAGATCCTGGTGTGTGATGTTCCCCTTCCTGTGTCCGTATGTTCTCATTGTTCAACACCCACTTACGAGTGAGAACATGAAGTATTTGGTTTTCTGTTTTTGTGTCAGTTTGCTGAGAATGATGGTTTCTACTTTAATCCATGTCCATGCAAAGAACGTGAACTCATTGTTTTTTATAGCTGCATAGTATTCCATGGTGTATATGTCCACATTTTCTTTATCTAGTCTATCATTGATGGGCATTTGGGTTGGTTCCAGGTCTTTGCTATTGTGAACAGTGCCTCAGTAAACATGCGTATGCATGTGTCTTTATAATAGAACGATTTATAATCCTTTCGGTATATACCCAGAAATGGGATTGCTAGTTCAAATGGTATTGATATTTCTAGATCCTTGAGGAATCACCACAGTGCCTTCCGCAATGGTTGAACTAATTTACACTCCCACCAACAGTGTAAAAGCGTTCCTATTTCTCCGCATCCCTGAGAGGAAACTTGTAACATGACATGCGTATGTTAGAAAAGAGGAACAGTCTCAAATCAGTTATCTATGCTTCTATCTTACAAATCTAGAAAAAGAGTAGCAAAATAAACTCAAAGCAAAAAAGAAAGGAAATTGTAAGAGTAGAAATCAGTACAATTGAAAATAGTATCAATGAAACAGAGCTGATTCTCTGAAAAAATGAATAAAATTGAAATACTGACCAAAAAAAGAGAGAAGACAGAATGACCATTGTCAGAAATGGTATCAGAAACAAGGATATCACGGCAGACATCAAAAGGATAATAAGAGAATAATACTATGAACAATTCCATACACATAAGTTTACAAGTTAGGTGAGATGGGCCAATTTGTTGAAAAATACAAATGATCACAACTCAGTCTGAAATAGATAATGTGAATAGCCCTATAGAGCTTGCTGTGGTTTGGGTATATTGAAATTTGATCCCCATTGTGGCAGTGTTGTGGGGGTGTAGCTTAGTGGGAAGTGTTTGTGTTATGGGGGCAGATCCCTCATGAATGTCTTGGTGCTGTTTTAACCATAGTGAGTTCTTGCTCTCTTGAGGCTAGATTACTTCTTGCAGGAATTGATTACTTCTTAAGTGAGTGGGTTGTTACAAAGCTAGGACACCCCTCTGGCTTTCCCCTCTTTGCACCTGTTTGCTTCCCCTTTGATTTTTTTCTACCATGTGATGCAGCACAGAAGCCTTCACCAGAACTCAAGGCCATGCCCAAAAATTTCTCAGCCTATAGAACCATAAGCTAGTCTCAGGTATTCTTCTATAGCAACACAAGAGGGACTAAGACAGAACTGTTCAGTAAATTAACGTAATTATGAAACTCCCAAGAAAGAAATCTCCATGCTCAGATGCTCTTATTGAAGAAGTCTACCAAACTTTTAAAGGAAGAATTAAAAGTAATTCTGTAAAATCTCTTCCATAAAATAGAAGAGGAAGAGAGATTTTTCAGTTAACTTTAAGAAATGTTTTACCTTGTTTATATCAAAACCAAAGACATTACAAAAAACAAAACAAACAAAATGAAACTACAGATCAGTATTCTTTGTGGAATAAACCCAAATGTCCATGACAAAATATCAGAATTTTGCAGTATATAAGAAGAATTATACACCCCAAACAATAGAAGTTTATTTTAAGGTAGCAAAGTCAATTCACTATTTGAATATCAATGAGTGTAATCCACCATATTAGTAGACTAAAGAAAAAAATTGCATGATTATATTAATCAGTGGAATAAAAGTATTTGATACATTTCAGCACCCATTCATGATAAAAACTCTCAGAAAAATTGCAATAGAAAGAACCTGCCTCAACTTGATAAAGAGCAACTCAGAACACCTGTAAGCCAACATTAAATGGTGAAAGACTGAATGTTTTTCCCTTATGATCAAGAATAAAGCAAGAATGTCTCTTTACCACTCATATTCAACAAAGTGCAGGAAGTAGTAACCATTGCATTAAAGAGAGACAAAGGAAATAAAAGGCATACAGATTGGAAAAGAAGACATAAAACTGTCCTAATGTGCAAATGACATGATTACATAGAAATCCAAGGAATCCACAGAAAAAACTTCTATAGCTACTAAGTGAATCCGTAAGATTGCAGGATACAATATAAATATACAAAAAAGTAATTGCATTTCTGTTTAACTAGCAATGAACATTTAGACACTAAATACATTATCATTTATAATCATACATACAAAAAAATACTTAGGTGTAAATGTAGTAAAACTTGTGTCAGATTTATATACTGAAAGCTATATATATATATATATGTATATATATATAGCTTTTGTATATACTATATACGGTCCATTTATTTAGCTATTTCCTGATTTCTTTAATCAATATTGATTATTCATTTAGGAAATAGCTAAATAAATGGAGTGAAATATTATGTTCATGGATTGGAAGAATCAACATACTAAAGATGTGAAGTTGCCTGAGCATTGTGGCTTATGCCTATAATCTCAGCACTTTGGGAGGCTAAGACAGGTGGATCACCTGAGGTCAGGAGTTGGAGACCAGCCAGACCAACATGGAGAAACCTCGTCTCTGCTGAAAATACAAAATTAGCCAGGCATGGTGGTGCATACCTGTAATCCCAGCTACTCTGGAGGCTGAGGCAGGAGAATTGCTTGAATCTGGGAGGCGGAGGTTGCTGTGAGCCAAGTGCTCCATTGCACTCCAGCCTGGGCAACAAGAGTGAAACTCCATCTCAAACACACAAAAAAAGGTCATCACAAATTGATATACCTGTTAAAGACAATTCCTGTCAAAATCATAGCAGGATTTGTTTTGTAGATAGAAACAAATTTTATTCTAAAATTCATATGGGGGAAAGAAAGAACCTGAATATCTAAAAAGATTTATTAAAATAATGTAGTAGGAGTGATTAGTGGTCCTGATTTCAGGAACACTGTAGATATACAGTAAACAAAACTGTGGTATTGGCAGAAAGATTTACACATAGATCAGTAGAACAAGATAGGGAACCCAGAATTAGACCAATACTAATATAGCCAACTGGCTTTTGACAAAGATGCAAAAGCAATTCGATAGAGGAAAGATAGCCTTTTCAACAGTTGGTTTTGAGGCAATTGGACATCCATAGCACATCCATAGTCCAAAAAATTAACCCTGATGAATATATCATGCCTTATATAGAAAATGAACCCTATCAAAATAGATCATGAATGTAAATATAAAACATAACACTTTTAGCCAACAGTCATGGGAGTAAATCTTTAGGATCTAGGGCGAGGCAATGATTTTTTGTTTGTTTGTTTGTTTTTTGAGAAGGAGTCTTGCTGTGTTGCCCAGGCTGGTGTGCGGTGGCACAGTCTCAGCTCTGCAACCCCTGTCTCACAGCTTTAAGTGATTCTCCAGCCTTAGCCTCCTGAGTAGCTGCAATTACAGGCGCACGCCCCCACACCTGGCTAACTTTTTGTAGTTTTAGTAGAGACAGGGTTTCACCATGTTGATCAGGCTAGTTCTGAACTCCTGACCTTGTGATCTGCCTGCCTCAGCCTCCCAAAGCACTGGGATTATGGGTGTGAGCCACTGTGCCTGGCCGATTTTTTTTTAAGACTTAACCCCCAAAGCATCACACATAAAAGTTAAGTTGGACTTTAAGATTTTTTAAGTTTGCTGTGCCCTATTACGAGGATGAAAAGAAGCTCTAGAATGGGAGAAAAGATTTGCCAGGCACATATCTGACAAAGGCCAATATTTTGAATATATTAAATATAAAGAACTCTCAACACTCAAAAGTTAAATACAGACAGTCCAATTAGAATGGACAAGAAAATGAAGACTTTCACCATCAGTCATTAGAGAAATGCTAAGTAAATCAAAATGGAATATCACTACACATTTATCAGAATGGCTGGAGTGAAAAATAATGACAATACCAAATGCTGGTATGGATGCAGATAATGGATCACTCATACACTGTTGATGGGATATATAATGACACAGTTGAGCAGTTTCTCAAAAATCTGTGTAGCTACTGTACAACCCAGAATGCACTCCTGGGAATTTATTCCAGAGAAATGAAGATTTATGTTTATACGTAATCCTGTACATGAATTATATAGCAATTTTATTTGTAATAGCCAAAAACTAGAAACAACCTAGGCGTTACTCAGTGGTGAATGGTTAAGCAAACAGTGGTACATCCTTAACCATGGAATACTACCCACTAATAAAAAGAAATGAACTGTTGGCATATATGACAATTTGGATCTTCAGAGTATTATGATTTACCAAGCCAATCCCAAAAGGTTTCATTCCATTTATATATCATATAATATGATCCCATTTACATGCTATATTATTTCATTAATATAATAGTCTTGAAATGACAAAACTGTTGAAATGGAGACTAGATTAATTGTCAGGGGTTGAGGAGGGAAGGAGGAGGTGTTGGATATGGTTATGAAAGATAAACATGAGGGTGGTATTAGAAATGTTCTACATCCTGACTATATCAATGTCAACATTCTGTTAGTGATATTGTAATATAATTTTGTTAAATATTACTGTTGGGAAAAATTAAGTAAAAGGTGTAGCAGATCTGTGTATTAAAAGCTTAAAGAAAAATAAATGAAGTACAAGGTACCTTTTGGTGAAATAAGTGACAATGAGGTAGAAATGTATTTTGTAAAACCTTTGAATACCAAAATAAATTTAGGATATAATTATTTAGATAATAAGGTACTGCAAAAAACCTCGATTATATGGGTATAACACAAAGTAAATGAATAGAAAATTACTCCGACCACATATACAAAATGTCTTATGTGTGCAATTATAGATTATGACAGTATTTCACAAATACCTTCTAAAATATCTTAATGTTTGGAAATTATTTTTTCTAAAAAAGGAAAGCCTTAAAATAGAATTGGGTTGCCTATATATTAATAGCTTTAAAGTAGTAAAACTATTAAATTCTCATTATTACACTCCATGGGATAGCCCTTTTAGTTTATAATATGTTGATGTTGTTTGTAAGTACATTGTTTAGATCTTTGATTATGCTTTCCCTTTGAAATAACTCATAAAAGATGGCTACATTGCAATCACAGATTCTTTGAGAATCTGAAGAAAGTATCTGCTTAGATAGATGGACCATCTACCTAATTTTTCATACAGCAGGGTACACATACCACCTGAAAGCAATCTCTGAATCTAGTTTTAAGAAACTTGATTAGGAGCCGGGCGAGGTGGCTCACGCCTGTAATCCCAGCACTTTGGGAGGCTGAGGTGGGCAGATCACCTGAGGTCAGGAGTCCGCGACTGGCCTGACCAATATGCTCAAACCCCATCTTAAAATAAATAAATAGAAGCTTGATTAGAAGAAAATATCCAGAGTATTGTATATAATTAATTCCAGTGTAATATGAAATCATTCAGAAACAACTACCTAATGAGCATCTGTTTGCTTGCACAGTACCTATGGCAGCCACCCCATGGGATCCAAAAACTATTTCTAAAATATTCTGTCTTGCAAGAGGCTTACAATCTAGTTTAAGAAGCAAGACGTATTTATGAAGTAATTAACTATTAGAAGTGTCAGAATAAGAATCAGTTCCTACTTTTAGATTGAAAGCATCACAACTTGTAAATTGCTTCAGAAAGACATTCTGGTAACCAGTGTACCATTACCTCTTTTGGATTTGGGACTGTGAGGTGGGAAATAGAATTCTTTTTTATAAATAAATGTCATGCAAAGTAAAACAGAAAAACTGAGGACTGTCTGTGTTTATTTAAAAACTAATTCAGACCTTATGTTGGGTCTTGGGAATATTGCCATGAAAACATAAACACAGTCCCCTTTTTTACTGTTCTAGGGGATAAACTGTTTGGGGTTATAGGATGAAAGAATAGCTCATTCAGACTCCAGGGTGCAAAAAAAAGATTTTTGGCATAGGCTGCATGAAGAGAGTGTACTTATTGTGCTAAGAAGAATTTGACTTTGAATGAGTTATTTAACCTTCTTGAATTTTAGGGCCCTCATTTGTAAAGTGGAGACAATAACAGACAATGTAATAAAGTATTGGGTGCAGAGCCTGGCAGTTCTTAGGTACTCAATAAATGGTAGCTACTGCTGTTATTGGTTTAAACCATTTGATGAATGGCTTAAGAGGCAGGATTTTAGGAGCTGGAACACAATATTAAAACAGGAAAGGTGGATATTCCTTTGTTTTCAAAGCAGTAGAGACATGTCTATATGGTATAAAAAGTTGTATTGAGAAATAATATGTGTAATTGCAAACAATGTGCCTCTTTAAAAGAACTTCCTACTTTTAAACAATTTTCTGGATTAGTTTCAGGTGGTCTTTTTTTTTTTTTTTTTTTTTTCAGCATGACATTAGTTTTTATGTGGGGCAGCCTTTTATAATATAATAACTTTGCTTACCAACTTTTACTCCTGACTTTTTCAGAGATTGGAAATGCTTATGCTGTGTTAAGTAATCCAGAAAAGCGAAAACAGTATGACCTCACAGGCAATGAAGAACAAGCTTGTAACCACCAAAACAATGGCAGATTTAATTTCCATAGAGGTTGTGAAGCTGATATAACTCCAGAAGACTTGTTTAATATATTTTTTGGGGGTGGATTTCCTTCAGGTACTTTAATGTAATTACAGATATTATATTTTATGAAGCTACAGAGTCTTACCTCCAGTTATATTATTTAGAGATGTATCTACCTTTTCCCTTACATTTCTTGTAATGTTTTGATCCTGTGACGGTTTTTCATGAAAGCAGGAGAAAAATGTTAGGATTACTATTTTTACAAAGTTAAACATTTTAGTTAAAAAAAGCCATATTTTCCTAGAATATACTTTAGTTAAAAAAATGAAGAGTACAGATATTCTGTATTTTATATAAAGCTGAAGGGGAATATAAGAAGGAAATGTAATGGCAATGTCTTAGGTAAGTACTGTTATAATTATGAATGGTTTTCTTCAACCTGGATGACTCTTTGACATTGCTTCTTTAGAGATCTTTGTAAATATTTTATCAATAACATTATAGTTTGCTAATTTGGATGTAAGTAGAGGTACTCATTTCTATTTCCATTTAAACAGTAGAAAGTCTGATTCATAGGTTATATACAAAGTGGATTTTAAAAATTACATTAAAGTAGAAATAGCTAACTTTAGACTATCAAAGTGAAGTATTGTAGTGATACCACTAAATGGATAGATTTTATAGTGCCAACATAAATAGTATTAAACTCCACTTACATTTCCAGTAAGTGGTCACTTAACATAAGGTTTTTGGAAACTGTGACTAGAAGTGAAACAATGTTCTGAATAACAACTAATTTTACCACAGGCTAATTGATATAAACAAGAGTTAAATTGCTAAGGCATATAGTACATCATGTTTACTTGAAGTTGCAGTTTCCAAGGACCTATTGAGGACGTTAAGTGAGGACTTACTGTACTGTGAGTTGTTAGTGTGGAAATTGATTTTTCTTGAATGTAGCTCCTCAAGGTACTTAAAATTACAGCTTTAGTCTTGTTTACAAAATTTACTTCAGGTGCTGAGTTAAACGTCCCATTCAAAATTAGGAGACTCTTCATGAATGTAGCAATGTGATTTCACCTGGTGGCACTCTCTGAATATTATTGAGAAATGTTGTGGTCATTTCTTTTTCTTTTTTAATAGAGACAGGGTCTTGTTCTATTGCCCACACTGGAGTACACTGGGATGATCATAGCTCAGTGCAGCCTCAAAATCCTAGGCTCAACCAATCCTCCTGCCTTAGCTTCCCAAGTTGCTAGTACTACAGGCAGGTACCACCATGTCCAGCTAATTTTTTAAAAGCTTTTTTGGAGAGACAGGGTCTTGCTATGTTGTCCAGGCTGGTCTTGAACTCCTGGCCTCAAGCGATCCTCCCACCTTAGCCTCCCAAATCCTGAAGAATTTAGAATACTGAAAAACAGAGGTAAGCCACCATGCCCGGCAAGGTAGTGGTCATTGAGGATGTTTTGCAAAGCATCCTTGAAGGAAAGAGGATATATGAATGCAAATTAATGACTGAAAATATAATCTGTGTTTTGACATGTTAGAATACATAATTACAGAAACATTATTAAAGCTAGTAATTTTGACTGGAAATATGCTAGGAACAATCAGAAATCTTTCAGACAATAGTAAATTTTCTACTGATAGTTGATTTGCAGTTATTTTGCTAGTTATAACATAGTTTGTCAGTGGTAGCCATTTCTGATTGGCCATCTTATAGGAAAACAACTTGATTGTTTATCAGCAAGAGAATGTTTGAATGAATTGTGGTCCACCTATACCAAGATACGTTACAGAGCGATTTTTTAAAAATGAATTTGAATACTATCTTTTGATTTTTAGAGATGTTTATGATGTGTTGATAAATGCAAAAAGCAAAGTTTCAAAGTAATAATCCAACATTTACAAAAACAACTAATCACAACAAAAGTCCTCTATGAGTGTAGAGAAACTCTTAAGTTTTCATAAAGGAATTTCTACCTCTAAAGGAAGCAGATTGGGAAGAATCATTACTATTTCTGTCCACCCTTCACTCACAAGAAAAGAGGGCAATAAGTGTTTACTACTGAAAATAAATATGTACTGTTTTAGTAACGTTTTAAAATTAAGGAAAAATGTGAAAGAAAATATATTTTTTCTGACCATAATTGCTCTCCCTAATTCAACCTTGCTTTTATTTTTTTAGGTAGTGTACATTCTTTTTCAAATGGACGAGCTGGTTATAGCCAACAACATCAGCATCGACATAGTGGACATGAAAGAGAAGAGGAAAGAGGAGATGTATGTTTATGACTAGGAATCACAAAATGGCAAATTTCAGCTAAGGAAAAGCAACTAGAGTTGTCTAAAAAGAGGGCAGGTTGTTGTAGGAAATAATGAGTTTTCTCTTACCAGAGGTGTTCAGTAAAGACTAGAAAATCCTTAGGGATATTGTAGGAATAGGAGGTGAGGTCAGCAGGGGTGGTTGGATAATATGACCCATTTAAATTTGTTATTCGATGATTCTAATGAAGGTAAACCTGCACTGTGCGTGTTATGAAGGTAACTTGCTATGTTTGGCCCTGAAGAATTTAGAATACTGAAAAACTTGAATTGGAGGTAACTTTCCTTGTTCTAATGCAATTATACCTAATTGCCTATAGCAGTTTAATTACATGAAGTGGAAAGGTAAATGGAAAGAGCACTAGACTAGAAATTAAAAGGCCTGGCCCCCAACTTTGCCACTCATCAGCTGCCATCTTCTACCCTCAAATCCAAAGTAAAAATGGTTTTACAGCCTGCAGCATATTGATAGAGTCTCTGTGTATGTCGGGGGAGGGAGTTGGGAAGGAGAGAAAAGAATGAGGACTTCCTCATCTATAAAATGAAATCAAATTCTATCAGTGTTTTTCAAATCAGAATCTCCTAGTGATGTGCCTGGACAGTTATATTTTTAAGAATCACTGAAGGAGGTTGGTATGGTTAAGTGATTTGAAAGCACTGAACTAGTGATCTCAAATGCCCTTTCTGCCTCAAAATGTATGACAACTGTTGGATTATTAACAATTACAGTTATATTACAATTTGTTATTCTTTGATGATTTTTTATAGGGAGGTTTTTCTGTGTTTATCCAGCTGATGCCCATAATTGTATTGATCCTCGTGTCATTATTAAGCCAATTGATGGTCTCTAATCCTCCTTATTCCTTATATCCCAGATCGTAAGTAGCTAAGTGAAGTTTTACAAAAATGAATTGTTATTTCTGACCTACCTTCTTTAAAGAGCTTGTGTTCTTATAAACTTTTAAGTGCCAGATCTATTACTGCAAGTATACCAGATTTAAAAATTTATATCTAATATTTAAAATAGTTTAAGTAATAAATGTCTTATGTTGTTAATTTATATTTCTGTTCTTCCACTGTGGATAAGGACAGAAATGCTATATTTGAACTTGATAACAATTTAATGTGGTAGGTAATGGGTTGACATTAAAGACAAAAGTACTCTAAAAGATAAAAATACTTTAAAGACAAAAAGAGCAATGATTGATCTTACATAGATTTATATCATTAAGGGTAAAGTGACTTTACTCTTCAGTTTGCAAAATATCGATTAAATAAAAGCAAATATTACTTTTTTGTGATATACTTTTTTAACCATATACTTTATATATAAGAGGTCAGGACATAAGAAAAATGAATACAGCATCCATTCTAGACAACTTTAATACGGTGAACATAAAGGAAACTATAACATCATATTGGCTGTTATAGCAGCATGAACTTTATAAAAGCAGATAAAGAAAAAAGAATAAAAATCCTATTGGCAGTGATTTTACAGTATTAAAATCACATTGATCTAAAATAAGAATTACCTTATTTTTTCTAAATAAGTTTTTTTTTTTTGAGATGGAGTTTCACTCTTGTTGCCCAGGCTAGAGTGCAGTGGCCTGATCGCGCCTCACCGCAACCTCCGCCTCCCAGGTTCAAGCAATTCTCCTGTCTCAGCCTATCAAGTAGCTGAGATTACAGGCGTGCATTACCACGCCCAGCTAGTTTTGTAGTTTTTGTAGAGATGGGGTTTCTCCGTGTTAGTCAGGCTGGTCTGGAACTCCTGACCTCAGGTGATCTGCTGGCCTCAGCCTCCCAAGGTGCGCACATCTGTAGATGTGAGCCACCGCGCCTGGCCCAAATAAGATTTTTATTAACTAAAAATTGGGATACCTTTGTAAGAACATAGTATATTTAAAAGTGTGATTACTTTTTTGTGACATGAAATCATGGCTTTAGGCAATTTGAGAAAATGTAAATAAGTTACAGTTTGTGTATTTCTTATCTAAAATGCTTCAGACCAGAAGTGCTTTGGATTTTAGATTTTTTCAGATTTTGTAATATTTGTATATATTTTATGAGATGTCTTGAGAATGGTACCCAAGTCTTATGAAATTTATGTTTTATATATACCCTATACACATAGCCTGAAGGTAATTTTATACAATGTTTTTAGTAACTTTGAAACAAAGTTTCATGAAACAAAGTGTGTATACACTGAACTATCAGAAAGCAAAGGTATCACTATCTCAGCCACTCATGTGGACAACCTGTGGTTGTTTGGTATCATTCTTGACTCTGAATTTATATGCTACTGATAAGCAATCATTTTCTTACTCTAATTCACAAATAAGTAGTTAACAGTGAATAAATAATATGTTCAGGGGTAACTAACTAGCATAGTAGCATCACCAGAATACCTGTATCAGTTGTTAAATAATAGCAACAACAAACAACTA